TGTGTGTGTGTGTGTGTGTGTGTGTGTGTGTGTGTGTTCTATATGTATATGTTCTTTCTTAGAAAAGGTGAAATCATTATTATTTAACTTAAAAAGAAAGAAAGAATGGAATTAGTTTTGTTGAAAATAACTGAAAACTCTTATCTTGAGTATCATAATTGATGCACATACAACAAGTATTTTTACTAAGATTTCTCCTTTTTGTGTGTTGTCTCTAAGAACACTTTCAGTAGAAAGGTCACGTCTGGAGCCCTGGATACGCCAGCCTGGGTCTCTCCTCAGTGCTTAACAATGTACAACGTAGCGCCTCAAGCTTACACTCAGTCACTGCGTTTATGGAGGTGACACAGGGTTCAGAGGCTGCTTGGAGAACACAAACCCCACAACAACAGCAGATGCACATTCAAAAATGAATGTACATGTGGAAAATCCCTTTTGATGGATGCGGCCGCCTCTATTGTAATGTTTAAAAAGTAGGTGTTAACACTCATGTTTAACAGAATGATTTGCCACATGTGTTAAGACTTAGGGACATAAATCGCAAAAATTGCTGATTGAAAGACCTTATGGACATTGGCAAGTCTTCTCCCCTTTCCAAGAGACTCAGCATTGATTACCAGCTAATTATAAACGAAGGAAGTGGCAGCTTGTGTGTTTCTAGGGTTGCAGTGGAATACATTTGCACTTCTCCAGGAGATCATGTGATATCGGGTGAGAATTCCGCAGAGCACTAAGTGCTACCTTCTCTACTCTCTTCTTCCCCTTCTCTCTATTTGTCTGTCTCTCACTCCTCTAACGCTCTCTCTCTACACCTTTTAATTCTGCCGCCTTTCTCACCGTTCCAACGACCCCCCTACCTGCGTTCACGGCGGTGGTGCCTCCCAAAAGCCTTCTTTCACACCCAAAGTGGGGATTCAAATTAGCATATGTTGCATTAATTTGGTACCCGTGCCTGACAGGAAGGGCTGACTTGAAGAAACATATGCTGCTAAGTCTCTCTAATCAGAGCTATTCACACACTGATCATTAGACATGTTGTACTCGTGTCCTCATCCACCGCCACATATTCACACACAAAGAACACCAGTCAGACAATGTATTCTCTTTGGAGTTCATGATAAAATCACAAATTAATCTGAGTATCACAATCTGAAAGTGCAATAGAGTACAACATTGCTAATGAGTTTACATGGATATCAACTTTTTTTTAAGCTAAAACGTATGTTTTTGTTTAAGGAAAGCATTTTAGATTCTGTGACATTCACTGTTTAAATCAACGTTTTGATTTTACAAGTTTGTTTAAATAGTCCTGTAGTGTGACTGCAAATATTTAATGAAGCTTGTCAATTAATATGAACTCATTAAATTGCTGGCACAATAATTATAATGTTATACTTTTTGCTGTTTATAGTAGTTTTAAATTTGCATGTTACCACAGAACTTTTTTGACACATTGTTTCATAGTATACACAGAAGAAAAGCTTTAACTGATTTTATTTTATGCTTATTAATAGGAAAATTCTCTTTTATGTGGATGTGTCACTTCAGGACGGAAAGTATTTAAACATACATATTGCAAAATTAATTAGTAGGCCTAGTGGGATGTAAAGCTCAAGCTCGAATGTATTTTACTTGCTTCCTATCCTGATTGGAAACTTTGGTAACACTTTATTTTGATGGTCCCACAACAGACATTCTACAGACTATAAGAAACTGTGTCAACTAATTCAACTAGCCCTAATCCTACCCCTTAAAGTCTACTAATACTCAACTAGTACTCTAATGAGAGTTAGGTGACATGTAGGTGCAATATTAGTCAAGGGGACCATCAAAATAAAGTGTAACCACAACTTTTATAAGCATCCCCATACAATTGCCAATTTGAAAATGTATGTTGTAACTACACAAGATTCAAAAACTTGTAACAACAATGTTGTTGACTAATTTTGGAAAACAGGTCCAAATTAGATAATACAAATATATTAAATCCTCATTTGTCATTTTGATACATTTCAATATGACGACAGTCACACTGGTAATGTGCATACAACTTTACTTTAAATTTCTTAAATACCACTTTAATTGATATTTTAATGCTTATAAACAAAATGTTTGTTCTCTGCTATCCAACAAAATGATAAAAAATACAAGAAACGTACAATGTACAACAAAATGATAAAAAAAATACAGGAAACGTATACAATGTACAACAAAATGATTTAAAAAAAAACAAGAAACGTACAATGTACAACAAAATGATTAAAAATAATACAATAAACTAATACAATGTACAAAATGCTACTTTATATTTCTAAATAAACAAAATGTGTTCTTTATTAAAAAAATAGAAGATAAAATGTATTTATTTATTTGATTGAAAATGATAAATTTACTGAATAAAACAGGCCTACATAGGTATTTGTTTTTATAACTTAGAGTAAGTCAAAAATGAAGTAAATAGGAAAAGGAAGTGAGATTTGACATTTAACAAGTGCTGTTTTGATAACACCGACCGTATAACGTGACTGATGGAGTGCAGGCATGGTTTGGGTCCATAAAAACATTAGACATGCTCAAGTTTCCGTGGGGCATCCGACTAGGCCCTATGTCCTCTTCCCTCCGTAACACTGAGACGAGAGCTATGCGCTGCTGTGGAAAGAAAGAGCGCAGACAGAAACTGATCACAGGTGCATATAGCTGAAGGTATATTGCTTAACAGATCATCTTTACTGATGGAAAATCACAGATGTTTAGAAAAGGCATTAACACAGGATGAGTCAGAATTACACTTCACTACATTACCCCACCACATGAAAACTCTCAAGCCCCGAAACTGCAGGATGAAGAAGTGTGATAAAGAAATCTAGCAATCTTTCATGTCACTCTCTGACTGAGCATCAACTGAAAAGACATGATTTAAGGAGACTTTCATAAGCAAACATATCTTGCCAAATCTCATCTAAAATTAAGTCAGATTATGGTCATATCATTTGCATCATGGCACTTCTGCCACTCTCTGACCACAGATATGAATATGACCTCATAAAAAATTGCTGCTGGTCTTGTACAATACAATACTGAGGGAACACCAACACAATATTCAGCAAATAAAAAGTGAATCATTCGATTGCCTTATTATTGAAAGTACAAACTTTGCATACAGACACTGCTCCAAAGAAGAGTTGTGCTAATATAAAATCCCTCCTCCCACACTTTGTGAACAGAGAACTGCCATTAACCTGTGACAACTGCGCCAACTAGATTTGAGAATGCGTGGCATTCAAAGCCTCTCCGTAAATGCTTAAAAGACTGCAGGGCAGTGTGTTGTGTGCGTAGTGTGATTCGTTTAATTGCTGATACAGTGGATGAGGGCTGCTTCTGCGCACCATTTGTGTTCTGTACCTTCGTGGTAAATGTCCCCTGCGGGAGATCAGCTTAACTAAGGCCTAAAAGGTGGTGGTCACTTCCACAGGGCAGGTGGAGAGTATATATCAGCCCAGCCTGGTGAACACGTCACTGGGGACAATACGCTATCATCTGAGGTGTCAACACCAATGAGTTCAACTGGTGACCTTGTGAATTCACCTTGCTAGGAGAGACACGGGAGGTGGAATTAGAGAAATGACAGTGCGGAGAGGCAATTGTGTCATACCTGCACTGGGGGGGGACAGTGTGTGTGTTTTGTGTGTGTGTGTGTGTAAAGTTTGTTTGTATGTTTCTGGTTTGGGGTTCGGGTTTATAATTTATGATGATATGATGTATATACAAATAACTTAAATGGACATTTTTTCTGTAAAATATTGCAAAAGCCAGAAAGAAAAGAAAATACTATGCATATTCATACCTTGAAATTATGTTGTTTTTAAGTAAAAAGTAGTATATATGCAAATAACTTAAATTCAACTGAACTACAAGCTAATAAAATAAAATAAAATAATAAAAAGAAGACTTAAACAAGACTGCATCGCTGTCAACAAAAGACTAGTTTTCACATTACAACAAAGTGAGGAAGCTAAAACATTTTCTACGCTGTAATTTTTTTATTTTATATTATATTTTTTATGTTTATATATATATATACATAAAGAAAATACTATCTCAGAAAGAAAAGAAAATACTATTTAGACAATATTCATACCTTGAAATTATGTTTTGTTTATAGGCTAAGTAAAAGTTTAAAATGTAAAAATGTGTGTCTTCTAATGTTTGTACATAAGATCAAAGTATACACACGTTACATTTTATACTTACTACATTGTTTTTATGTAATTTTACCCATGGTGATGTTTTATGTTTGTCTTTCTAATATTACTTATTGTAAAAGAACTTTAAGACATAATTTATATACAATTACTACAATGCCATCGAGTGCCATCATACAGCTGGTCATCATGTACATTTTTTTGTAAAGCAAATATTAAATACTAAATAACTTACCTTTATGTAGTTAATTTCTGTAACATTTCAATAAAGATACTCTTGTAGTGAAGACCAAAATTATGTGTGCTTGAGTGGAAATGAATGTCATAAATGTAAGATTCAAAAAGTAAAAGTATCAGTTGAAAACGGATGGAAAACGACTCACTCTCGGTGACTGTTTCTCTTAGCTATAGATCTTCCACATATTATTCATCAACACAAAAATATCTAATGCGATATAATGTATGAATACACTATTTTATCAGGCTATAGGAAGGTTTATTTTTATTAAAAATATTATTTAAAAAAATCATAATGAGTAGGCATATGACTGTATATAGCCTACTGAATAGTCTATTTACGCATTTATACCCCTAACTAATTAAGCTCACGTATGCACTCAATGAATTAACATTGTAACGATTGTTCAGTTTTATTAAGAATCAAACTGAAGCCCCTGTGAAAAGGGGAAGGCCCGTCCTCGCGCATCAAGCCTATCACGCCCAGTCTGAGTGTAAAGCCCACCTCCGGACCCATTACCATTCGAGATATGGATATATCATAGAGTCTTATCATGTGTTTGAAGTCCGATTCCTATTCCAAAAACTACATAGTGGCAATGTCTTCAACATATTAAGATAAATCAAAGGGAAGATTGCCCAAGTATTTTAAACTAGATTACACTGCGCGCTTTGCAGACAAGCTCCAGAACTTGCTGTTTATATAAAGTTTGTATTAGAGTCTTATTTTTAAATGTTAAAGCATACGGACGGTAAACCTATGACACCTCTAGTGAGCTCGGACCGGTGCTGCAGATGGGCGGCATAGGCAGGAATTTGTATCTCAATATGTTGAATGGAACAGACGCGCAAAGTTTCGCCAAAGACGCAGAATTAACCAGCCACCTGCACCGAAACCGCGACTTAACGGACTTCAAAATGGGCATCCAAGACACGAGGTTTTACTACCAGGACTCGATTCCAAACGGACAGGACAGTTTGACGTTGCCGTTCCACGCTGAGCACCACCAAAGTACGGGAGCGCAGACAGGGAGGTTTTACACACCGGCTCCGCTCGGCAGCTGTCACTTCACCAGCCGGAGCGGGACGGGACACACTTACGTTCCAGCCGGAGCCGATGCGTATTCTTCAGCCAACGGTAAAGACGTGTACCCGAGCAGCGCAGACAGCTACACGGCGTCTTTTCAGCACGGGTACCCGCGAGCACCGATGTACACTTTACCTGGTCTACAGGTGTCCGGGAAGACACAAGTGCTCCTCAACAACTACCCGCTATGGGCAAAGTTCCACAAGTATCAGACAGAGATGATCATAACGAAACAGGGACGGTAAGAAGCCTTTTGGTTATAGCCACTCTTTAATAGCCTGTCATTAGCATAGACGTTTGTTTTCATGGCAGATTTTTTTTTTTTTTTTTTGTGCGCAATTAGAGTAAGAAACTGGTCATTCAGCATTTCCAAATGTCCCATTTGAATTTTAATTCCTCTTACTTTTGTACTTATGAATGCCAGCTGTGCCACCCAGGGCAGGTGGGCATGAAATCGAGTCCTTGGCATAGCTATGTGTCTTAAATTTAGAAGCCTAATTACAGAGAGATCTTTTGATCTAATCCCTTTTTTTTTCTACCAGACCGCGACCTGGTTTCAGTTTTTGTCAAAAGTAAACAAATACTGTTAGCAATTTGTCAAATTCTCTCACTGTTTTTCTCAAACTGTAAATTCTCAAATTCTCTCACTCTTATATGCACTTTGACACACATTTTTAAACTGAAATTACCTTGAAAAAATCTGACAGGAGCTTATGAGAACTACTGATGATTTTATTTTTTTATTTTATTTTATTTTTGTTTTAAGAACGTGATGACCAAACTTAGTTATCACGAGTAATTAAAAAGAGAAAATATATCCATAAAAACTCAATATTATGACTTATAAACTATACTGTGGTCCCTATGGGAGAGAAGTTCTTGTGGGGACGGTTGACAGGTCAGCGAGCATTAATATCTAACCATATCCCTGATGATTATAATCTACAGATGTGCAACACTTTCATTTCAGAGCTGCTTTCAAGCCATACATAGTCATTGCATGATATGGATTTAAAATATCATCTGATAAAAACTTTATAATTATTTCTAGGCCATTACATGTCAGTTTGGTATCACAGAATCTTTCTAGCATATGTAAATTGTGTATGTAAATGTAAAAAACTGTTGCACTAACCAATAATATCTAAACTCATCTCACCTGCCACCATAACAATTATTTCTGTTCAATTATATGAGAATTGACAGCATCAGAAACAGTTACAGTCTAATAGGAGGCTAAGCAGGCGGGGGAAACTTCAAAGAGTTATTAAAAATATTTACTTCAGAGATAAAAAGTAACACTTATGACTGTAATTTATTTAGTATTTTTCAGTATGCAGAAGATATTATACAATGTGCATTTAAATATGGTTTTGAAAGCAAATCGCCTAACCTTGAAATGAAGAGGTAACACAATGTTATTATCTTAATGTTTTAATATATGACTGAATTTCACATTTTACTGCTACAACAAATCATAGCATTATCACTTTAAAAACACTGCTGTCATCACTCATAACTCTTTATTTTATTTTGTTCTATACTTTTACGCACCATAAAAAGACGAATCCTACATAAGCTACATTTTCAAAACAGAGATATGTATTTATTTATTTATTTGTATTTTATATTATTATTATTATTATTGTTACTTTGCTAGCTTATACACAGATATGCATGCTTCTGTGTGTACGGTATAACTGTTTGTGAGTGTGTAAGTGTGTGAACGCACGCTTTTGTAACCTGTAACCTACAGGCAGGGGTCTTGAAGCCTTTTGCAAACCACATTCAGAATAAATACATTCAGAAAGAAAGAAAACATAATGAAATAGCGCATACATAATGTAGTTTATTAATGGTATAAATTACAAAGGAATGTTAAAATACTTCAAATCACCCTTGTAAATGCGCGTAACTGAACAGGCTATTGTGGGAATCGAGTGGCTTATAGATTATTTAATATTTCACATAAAAGAGAAAATCATTTTTAATGCTATATGACATTGATGATTAATTTTTTTAGCCTCTGAATCATTACATTTCCTGTTCGTATCTGATCTAGTGAAGTTACCTTTTCACATTCTAGAAATTGCACCTGTTTGAGTCCATTTATTTAAGTGCACGTGATTTGCTGCAAATTATTATTATGTTCTGTTATATACGGTATAATGTGCATTAACATAAGGGTTATTTTATTGGTTTTCATTGCCACTGAGTGTCATAGCTCAGGTAATTCTGCCCAAGACAGGAAGTGGAAAAGTAAGGAGGAGGGGGTGGTGTGTTTGGGGGTAAAGTTGGTTGAGCACCAGTGAGACTGATGGCCATACACATCAGTGGAGGTAGCTTTGAAGTGCAGGAAATGAAGGAAGGCACTTTCTTCCTCTCTCTCGCTCTCTTTCTCGCTTTTTTCTTTGCTCTCTCTCCACTGGTCTGGTACTCTGTGAGCGCAGTGATGCACGTTTCCTCAGAAGTCGAGGTGCAGTCCGAGTCAGGGCTTTGAAATGCACCGTAAGACCCACAGTCTAAGACGAGAGCAGAGGTCTTCGGCCCTTTTCAAGTCGAACTCTAAAACTGGCCCCTAACCTCACCCCTGCCACCAGGTTTCACAAACTTAAACAGGCACGGGCCATCAGCTCTAAACATAGATTGGTGTAGGTGAGCGTTGTCTTGCTTTTATGCTAGTCTGAGAGGCAAATAAGGCAACAAGAGGGTGCCAAATGATACTAATAACGACTGAAATGAATGAAAATGTTACCTCACAGAACATTAGTGGGAGGGATATGAAACTACAGATGTTGTCAAAGATCCATTCCATTGCATGTTCAGTGGTTGATAAAATACTAAAGTAAAAGAAAATATAAAAAATGTCTTATTTCAAACGCATCTTGCAACATACTCCTTTAAAGAGGAACTAGGGTTTTTCACTGTTGTTGAAAAACAGTCATTATAAAAGTCAATATATAAGAGTAATAAAAGACATTCTGGCCTCAGGTGCTTGTATAGGAAATGTGAATGAGTAGGTTCTTCGTAGGTTTGGTGAAAACCAAACTCCGAGGAGTCATGGGTCTCTGCTTTATGTGTAAATAAAGCTGTCTCTCCGCTTCAGTGGATTCACATGTCTCATATTTAACGCCGCAAAAAGCTTGAAATTTTCCAAGCATTTGTTTATTGGCTAAAATTGCGTATAGTGAAACTCTTAGGAACTTTTTTTAGGCTTTTTATACTCACACACAGCATTGTCACCTTATGGTATGATGAGATATACTGCAAAGTGAGTACAAACCGTGGAGCACAGCAGAAAGTTGCACATGAATCATTTATCCGGCCTTCATTTGGCCTCCCTTAAATTGCAGCATTAGGTAAGATAATAAAGATGGCAATTATAAACGGTGGCTGCAAAAAAGTATGGACACTTAAAGGGATGGTTCACCCAAAAATTGAAATTCTGTCATTATTTACTCACCCCATGTCGTTCCAAACCTGTATGACTTTCTGTCTTCGGTGAAACATAAAAAAGATGAAATGACAATGAAAGTCAATAGTGACCAAAGCTGTTTGATTACCAACATTCTTCAAAATATCTTATTTTTGTGCTGCAGAAGATATAAATTAAATGATGACAGAATTGTTATTTTTAGTTGAACTATCCTCTTAATAATGTATCAACTGCATTCTTTGCATTGCACACTGTAAAAAAAATTATATATATTTTTCGAAGTTGTATATTTAAAGGGGTTATATAATGGTACATGCACTTTTACAAGTTGATTGTACTGAAATGTGTGTTGGTAGTGCCTGTACACAACCATCATAAAATAATAAAAATCCATCCAGTGTTTTTGTTTTAATCTCCTTATATGTTTTCCCCTGCCTCAAATCGAGCCGTTCGATTTTGTGACGTCACACGCTCGGAAGCCCCTCCCACGATTGTTGATTGACAGCATCGTTTCAACACAGACCCGCCCTCGCTCGTGAGTGAGCTGTCAATCATAGTCTGCGCGGACCGGCGCGGTCATTGTTGATATGCTGGAGCACTGTCTATGAGCAGAATGGCGTCTAAGCGATTGTGGTGTTCTGTTCTTGGGTGTAATAACGAACACAGCAGTCATTTTAATGTTCCTAAATCCGAACCGCTGAAGACGCAGTGGCTGAGTTTGTTTTCGAAGGGAATATTCCCCACGAGCAACGTCAATGCTCTCATGTTTGCGCGAATCATTTCACACACCAGACTGCTTTATAAACGAGGGTCAGTATGAGCTGGTTTTGCTAAGAAGCTGCTCATGAAAAAAGGATCGGTACCAGCTATTCGTGTTCCTGCTGAATCTCCAGAAGAACGGAAGTGAGTGTAACGTTTTATTAAACTTTATATTAATATTTATATTAATCTTTGCAAATCGCTAGCTGCACGCTTCACAATGAATGCGTCTAAGGTTTACACTTAGGGTACATTACGGCATGCTTTCTATGTATGATTTTCTCAATATAATTCATAATCCCATGTTTATACTGAACAACGCGTTATGGTTATTGTGTTATTGTGTTACAAACGGTGTACGCACAGAACAGAGAGGCAGGGTGAGCAAAGCTCATTATCATTTAAAGTCATATGCACTGAAACGGCGTGCTGAAAACAGAGCTGTTTTTGACCAAGTAAAATAAGTGTTTTCTTACAATACTAATGAGAATTTTTAATTAAAGTATATTACAAACTTTTAATTTAGACCCTAAAGAATCATACTAGCTTGTACAAAAATGTCATTATATGACCCCTTTAAAGTTGAAATTAAATTTTTTATTAAATGTGCTCCTTGCCATTTCTTTAAAATTATTTGTGAAATTCTCTAGCATTTTTCTGAGTGAAAATTGTTTCAAAGTAAATCCTACACCATTTTTTGTTCAGTGTAAACCAATTATCTGCAAACAGATAATGCTAGAGCTTTTCTCAGATAACTTCACTTTTCTGAGGCATTTTTTAACTACTACAACAGATTTCAAGGTGCTTTTAGTGGATGTGAAAAGTTCACAAACGCATCCTATTGCAGAGTAACCACAGATGTAGTTCATCACATGACCTATGCAAGGTAAACAACCAAAAAGTGTTCAAATAATTCATTATTAATATTCATTTAAAACCTGTCCAACTTCTTTTTTGTGTTTTGCTTGAAGAGTTTTGCTTGAAACATGATACTAATATAACTATAGTCACTTATAAAGAATTGCAACCAAAGAAACCTTTGCAAT